TACACTTGTACAATTTACTGAAAACAAAGGACAGATTCTAGGACCTACTGATATGGAGTTTTTTTTAAAATTAATCTCAGTAAAATAAAAAGCATGTAAATTTAAAATGCGATGTTTCGTTTTTTCTACCAAGTTTTTTTTTTTTTTAAATAAAGCAAACCATGCTCATACTTTCCTCCCGCAATATACATGTAGAAGGGTGCAGATAATTTAATGACACGTGTTTTCAATTACCTGCATTATAAATTGGCGGCATTACTGGGGTTTTTATTTTTTCTCCATAAAAAATGTTAGCAAAAAAGTAACGTCAAATAAATTTTCTAGAATTTCACGTAAAATAACGTCATTCTGACGTTACTGAAACTGACACCAACACCGTGCGCAACGTCATTTCGTTTTATCCATATAAGGAAGTCGTGAAATTTATAAAGTTGGGGATCCTTGATAACTTCGCTATATCCGTGAATTCGCAATATCCGTGTTCGTGCTAAAAGAGATTTACTGTATTATTTTTTGATAAAGATGCAGATCAGTTAGATAAAAAAAAAACCAGTGCAATATAAAAAGAAACATATGGATATATAAATATCATCATCATCATTAGCACAGTGCACTTGTTTGTGCTATCATTATAAGACGTCACAAATCACTTAATTTCATATTACTCTAATCAGCATTGGCATCTAAGGCTATATTATAGAAAATCCTATTTTTGTGTATTTTTATTTGTTACTATTTTTTTAATTAAAGGTACAAATACAAACTGTCTATAAGATCCTTTCTATGACTAAAAATCGTTGACACATTTTAATATAAAATGAGTTAAATAATAGCATGAAAAAATTTCATTTTCAAGTTTCATTTTGTGACATTTCAAGTTAAATAGAAATGTCAAAGCCAAATATGGTGTGTTTTTGATTATGTCAGATAACTAAAATAATAAACAAATTAAACGTCTAAGTAACGTGGGGTTATTCAAGTTCAAAATTACTAAAAATAATTATTTGGTTCTAAATAACATATGTCATGTATATCTACCCTCAGCCTATAGTTTTTTTTATTTTTAAGCTCATATGTACGCCATATAGTTTTCAGAGTTATCTTTGATGAATAAGGAGCAGGTATCCTTAAAATTTGTAAACTGTACAAGTTTATGTATATCTTACAATAATATTATCTTGATTCGATTATTCATCGGTAGGCATAGTAAAATATTGGAAAAACATTTCTTCCAAGTCATCTGTAAAATATAGTACCGGTATATCTATCTTCGCTATTGTAGACTAAACATTTAAAATTGGCGCTTAAAATGATCTTGTGTTCTGAATATCCCCTCCTAAAATTAAAATTCCACCCCCAATAATATGCCCAATGCTAAACCGAAAATTCAACTTCCGGGGGGGGGTATTTCAAAGGGACAGTTTAAAGGACAAAAGAACGCTATGATTAAAAAAAACGAACAAGAAAATTTTGCTGATTGAGGTTAGTTACATCTGCTGATATTACAGTCGACTTATTATTATCGATTTGGTGTTACCTTGTTCACTCATCATGGTCAAAGTTTCGAATATTTTGGGCTGTTGACTAATTTGCATTGCTATGATTTACAAATAAGGTACCAATTTTTCCAAAATATGAATGGTACTGGAAAAAAGATATTCAATACAACAAATCCATATTTTCTTCTTTCGATTCAATTTTTCAGTATCAAATCAATCTCTCATTTTGCGGGTTTTTTTGTTAGGCGGCATCAAAGTTATTGTAGAAAGATGTATGCTAGAAAGTTCTACATAAAGTATATAAGATATTTACCTGTTGATGTTAACAATGTTTTCCGAAATCTTAACCTGTTTAACAGTATGAAGTTGATAAACTTTTCATGAGCTGCTTTCAACATTTAATATCAACTATCTTTGAGACACAATATTCTTTTCGATCCTGTTATTTATTTTGGTACTACTCGTATATCTTTACATCTTTCTAACTTTTTTCAGGACTTTGCATCACTTAAAAGAACATTTATCTATCATCGAAAATTTGTGATTCGAAACAAAAAAAAAACACATGTATTAGTTAGATTTCATGTGTGAGTTTATAATTGTTTATTCAAAAAGTCACACTTATTACATTTAAGCATTGAATTACTGAGTATCATTTTTTGAAAGATGCAGTCTCATAACTGCAATGGTGTGAGCAAACAAATTGAGTAACGCACAATTTTGAATTTTCTATTTAAAATTTCCACCTTATCCTTCATATTAGTTGCAACTGATAGAATAGCCTATGGAACAGCTTTGACCGGAAAGGACAATAATGCACAATGATAACAGATAACGATAATCAAAGTTTGAATTATTTTTTTTTCAATCTAAAGGAAGGATATGTAGATAACGAACAGTATTCAATCTCAAAGTCCATAAAACAATACAAAATAGGAACAGAGCAAACACAGACCTCCGAAACATCAGAGGTGGGATCAGGTGCCATTGAGGAGTGAGCATCCTCTGCTGACCGGTCACGCTCGTAGTGTACTCCTTGTCATGATCAGGAAATAAAGGGAAAAATCCGTCGTCAATTCAGTGTATAAATAATGGACTAACAATTGGTATGAAAAACGTCAGTCCGCATTTGACTCAATGATAGATTGTATTTGCTGACAAGGTCAATGTATCGACCATAGAACTTAGGAAATGATGACTTTAAACGAGACTGTTGATATTCTTGTTTCATCAACTTGTTTGTCAATAATTTACCTCGTTTTAGAAATTGTTTATACGTAGAGTATGCTCTTGCGTATCGAATTAACTGAGATATATACACTCCGTATGCAGGTGATGAAGGTATATTGCTGAATAAACAAATGAATGCTTTTGAGTTTTCAAAACTCTGCAGCATTTTTCAAATCTAAACCTCATAAAATTAAAGTTCTCATGACCAGACTAAGTTTAATGTTGTATCACAAAACTAGAACCTCTAAAAGATGATTATTCATCTGGCCGAGATTTTACTGTAAACCACTTTTAAGTATTATCACATAATTTTTATGCATTGTTATCGATTTTCAGCATACCGATAGGAAAAAATTAAGAAAATTATTTTAAATAAATGAGTTAATTAATACATACATAGGTAGATATAAAAAAGAAATAAAGAAACTATTTTTCATTAGGAAAATGGGATACATGTCCAAAAGAAGGAATTTGATTCCACATGTACTTTTCTAAGCTTAACACCAACAATGATTCGTTTATTACCATAAGCAGTATAGTTTTGCAAAACTTTGAACAAATTCCATTAATTTTAATGTTTGTACTTTCTTAGTATATAAGTCTTTCGTTCAGTTACCCAACCCCTCCCTTTAATTTGCTTCCGACGCCTATGAAATATAATTTATTCATCTTATGACTAAACTGCTAAAAGTGGCGCTTAAATGCCTTTCTGTTCAACTCTAAATCCTCCTAATAAAATCTTAAATCCCCACCTCTAACTTTTTCTAATACTAAAACGAAAGTTAAACTTCCGGGGTACTTTAAAGGGGTATATCAGAGGAGAAAAGGACGCAATATCTCAAAATAATCAAGAAAGAATTGCTAGTAAGTAACATCTTCTGTTGTTATATCTAAGGTAAAGGGGATTGAGGGAAGGCATCAATAAATTCCTGAGAGAAAAGAGAAATTGACTAAAATATTAGCAAAATTATATTGTATAAATCCAACAGGTCAACTTTATTTTGCAGGAGAAAGATGGCGACTTCGTCTACTTGGGCTCAGGAAGTGATCACGTGTGACCTTTGTGACAACCCCACCCAGCAATTCTGTAACAGCTGCCAGATCAGTTTGTGTGGGGACTGTATCAATAAACATGTAGAAAGTCTGAAGTCAGAAACACATGACATTGTTCCATTTAAAGACAGAAGAGAACGGCTCGTATTCTCCTCATGTGCTTTTCATCCAAACCAGAAATGTGAGGGACATTGCCAACAATGTAATGTCCCCGTCTGCTTCAAATGTCTCACAGGTCCCCACAGTGGCCATTCTGTCAAAGATATGTCAGAGATTGTGCAACAGATGAAAGAAGAAATCAAGAAAGAAACAGGGGAAATTGAGTCTTTAATTTCAAAATTCGCTTTAAGTGGAACAAAAACTGATCAAAAGATATATAATTTGACTGAAAAATTTAAAACAATCGAGAGGGAGGGAGAAAATCTGAGAAAAACCTGGCATGAAGAAGTGGACAGCATTTTCGACGCACTACAGTCAAACATTAGGGCAACGAAGGACAGAGGACTCACAACTCTCAGCTCACATAAGTCCATGCTTCAGAATTCAGGGGCAAAATTAGCACTTATAGCGAAAGAGAAGAAGAAAATCCTAAAGTCCAATAAAGTGTCTGATGTCATAAGCTACGAATCAATATTAAAGACAATCAGAGACATTCCTACAGATGTTCATGTAACAATTCCTTCCTTGAAATTCAACAAAATCCCGGGGAGAGAACTCAGCATTGAATTAGGAGAATACAAGGCTATACTGACGCAGACATCACTATCCATTTTATCTGTGAGAAAATTATTGGAGAAAGCTAAAGTTATTGCTAGCATTCCTTCTGGCATAAATCCTTTGGGTCCCATTATCTGTACTGGAGCCAGTGAAGCTTGGATTTGTGGTGGAGACAAATTCGTAAGACGTATTGACATACATGGATCTTTGAAAAACAAGATCACTACCGAATGTGACTCTTATCCGGCTGACATTTCAGTGACAAGGCAAGGAGAACTGATATACAGTGATACTAACAATGGAACTGTGAAGATTGCCAGACAGTGGAGTATAGAGACACTAATCACTCTACCTCAGGGATGGTATCCAGAAGGACTGTGTTGCGCCAGAACAGGGGACGTATTAGTTAGTATGTGTACACCTGATAAAACTCGTCACAAACTACTCTGCTGTCAGGGACAAAGAGCTACACAAGAAATAGATAAAGATAACTATGGACAAAGCATATTTAAAGGTGGGCAATATGGGTTATACGTGGAAAAGAATAACAATGGAGACATTTGTGCCTCTGATATGAATGCTAAGACAGTGATAGTGATGGACAAGACAGGAAGAGTCCGATTCTGTTACGACGGAACACCAGCCAGAAGGAACGGTCCATTCCAACCTGCGCACATTGCTACTGACTCACTGAGCCAGATCATCATCACTGATTATATTAATGACTGTCTTCATGTTTTAGATCAGAATGGACAGTTTCTCAAATGTGTTGACAATTGTGGACTTCGGAGTCCTGCTGGACTGAGTGTGGACAGTGAGGGGAGGTTGTGGGTAGGGTGTTATAATTCAGGTGATGTAAAAGTGATCCAATACCTGGAGTAAAAGAAACATGATCCATCACGATACGTATATATATCCCAGAGTTATTTTTTTTAAAGAACTAGGCGGTCGAATTGCCTAGAGCTTTAATGTATGAAAATCATATTTAATTACGTAAACTTACATTATGTAGTACTAGTATTCAGAGCAAAATTCGTAATAATATTAAAATGTGTGAACTTATAACGAACTCTGCTTTCTTCTTCGCAAACTGTTTCATTATGAAAAAAGCATTGTAGATTCCCTATAAATTGAACCCAAACCATGATTTTCTTGACTATCAATTATTGTTAGAGGTTGACCCGTTTATCACAGCAATAAACAAAATGTAACAAGAATTGGTATGTGACCCTTGAATAACTGGACTTCAAATGTTAAAAGTTATGAAAGTTGTTTCATATGCCTGAACGTGTATTTTTTTTTATGAAAAGTGAATCATTAATTTAAAATTAAATTGGTATTGAATGAAAAAATCCCCAAATTATTTGCCCTCTGTTGCGTGTGCTTGTTTTGGTCAAAGACAAATAAATTCAATTTTTGTGAGATTGTTTTAAATTATATAGTTTTCTAATGTGACTTTCCTTGAGAAAGAGAGGATAAGGTAACACTACCAACCCATCCCAACCACCAAAGAATAGTTCTTTTCCAGTTTGGGGAATTTGTATAGTTTTTTTTTCTTGTCAAAAAATTTGGAGTCTAACATTTGCTAGATTAATGCAGACAGAACCCCCCCCCCCCCCCCCGCTTGAAAGAATCCTGTATTCCCATCTGAAAGAGAATGCAACAACGGAAGAGGTATAACTCTACTATGCTACAGTACCATCAATAAAATATCATTTAACATGGTCAAAAAGTTGCGCTCGGTTCTGGATTTTTTATTTAACCAATTCTTACCTTAACAGCACAGAATTCTGATTTCAAACAATTCATAAACCTCTATCAATTTCTCTCGTACAAATAACTGACATCTGCAGGGAGTGTGTTGGACCGAACTGATCCCCAAATTGGCAGAATATTTTTCGATAGTCTCAATTACAGGCCATGAAGGACTACTAACAAATATTTTGGGGAAACAGTACACGAATTGTGTGCAATAAATATATTCTTTTTCAATGGGTGGCACAAACTATTTTTTTTCACAGACCAACGACAGCTAGGCCTGCAACGATAGCGTTGTATTGTGATATGCGATTTTTAAAAATTATTAAAGAAAATATATCTCCCAATGCATGGCGAATTTAGAGAGGTTTTGGGGAACACCCCCCTCACCCACCCACCCCTGAAATTTCCAAGAAATGGGTAACATGAAATATATGGAGATAATGAACAGAATTCAAGATATAAAGTCCATAACATAATTTAAAAAAAAAACAGAGCAGAGCAAACACGGACCTCCAAATCATCCGAGGCGGGATCAGGTGCCATAAAGGAGTGAGCATCCCCCGCCGACCGGTCACACTCCCTTTGTGTCTTTGTCATGGTCGGGAAATAACGGAAAAACCGTCATCAATTCAGTGTATAAATAATGGACTAACAATTATAATAGTATGAAAAACGTCAGTCTGTATTTGACTCAATGATAAATTGTATTTACTGATGAGGTCATTGTATCGACAATAGAACTTGCAAAATGATGACTTTAAACTAGACTGCTGATATTCTTGTTTCATCAACTAGTTTGTCAATAATTTATCTCGTTTTAAAATTTGTTCATACGTAGAGCATGTTCTTGATTATCGAATCAACTGAAATATATAAACTCCATATGTAGGTGATGAAGGTATATTGCTGCATAAGTAAAGGAAGTTGACGATAGAAAAGTTATATTCATCACGTTTATCATAAAGCTTGGTTGTTATATTACCATTAATGTCTTTTTCAAGTAAAATATGCAAGTATGAAGCAGATGTGTCAGACTCTGTGGAATGTTTTATCTCAAGATCCCTAGGATACATCGTATCGATATAGGAATGGAAATACCATTGTCAATTGACAACACGTCGTCGATAAACCATTGTTGATTGACAATACGTCGTCGATATATCTAAATTAAAAGGAGAAATAAACAAGTAAATTGTAGAAAATAAAAAAAAAATAATAACAAAAAACCATGGTTTTCAGATTTATGCGAAGAATTAAGAATCTCAGTCAAAAACTATGAAAAATTAGTTAACAAATTTCCTTTTAATGCTGAATATCGAAAAGCGTTTTACTCATTACGTTCACGTTTCAGACGTCGATGTAAATACGAGCAGAGACAATGCAAACAAAAGATTTATACTGAGCTTGAGAACTCTCTTAATTCCAATCCTAAATCATTTTGGAAATTAATTAACAAACTTGATCGTTCATCAAAGTGCACAAATGAGGATGTATTACCTCATGACAAGTTTAAAGATCATTTTAAAAAACTATCTTTGGATAATTCAAACTTAAATGCATTTCAAAGGGAAATTATTCAAAAATTTGAAGAGCTAAAAAAGAAACAAGAGTCATATTTTGACATGAATGTACTGAATAGCTCAATCACGTCTAGTGAAATACTTAAAGCCATTAAATCTTTGAAAAATGGTAAATCTCCATCTATTGATTTAATATCAAATGAAATGATAAAAAATAGTACACATACTTTGCTCGAGTCACTTACCAAACTTTTTAATTTTGTATTTGAAAAAGGGGAGTTCCCTAAAATATGGAATGAAACTTTTATTGTCCCATTGCATAAGACAGGTAGTAAATCTGACCCAAACAATTATAGAGGATTATCAGTAAGCTCAAACTTGGGAAAAGTATTCAATAAAATCATACATTTGAGATTAATCAAATTTACTTTAGATAATAATCAAATTAGCAAAAATCAAATTGGCTTTATGGAACACAGCAGAACAGCCGATCATATATTTTCTATAAAATCTATAATTGAGCATTACAAACTCAAAAAGAAAAAAGTTTATGCAGCATTCATTGGTCTGAGAAAAGCATTTGATACTATTTGGAGAACAGGTCTATTTTACATACTTCTAAAAAATGGTGTTCCAAAGAAAATTTTCAATGTGATTTATTCTATGTATGCAAGCACCATGAACAAAATAAAGTTTAATGAGGGGTTAAGTGAACCCTTTATATCTGAAAGGGGTGTCAAACAAGGTGATGTATTAAGTCCCTTGCTTTTTAACATTTTCAAATTGTTGATGAATTAAACAGTATCAATTCTGGTCCGATATTGGTAAAGGACACAAAAATACACTATTTGTTATATGCAGATGACTTAGTTTTGTTGTCAAGTAGTCCTGATGGTCTACAATGTAGCCTTAATACTCTTCAAAATTATTGTGTTAATTGGAAGCTGGAGATTAATACGTCCAAATCAAAAATTCTGGTAATTAATTCTAATGGTAAAACCTTTTTAAACCATTTTACTATTAATGGTATCTGTATTGAAACTGTCGACAAATATTGTTATCTTGGTATAAATCTTAAATGTAATGGCAAATTTAATCTTGCTGCAGCTCGGTTAGTTGATAAAGCCAGGAAAGCATTATTCAAGGTAAAGAAATCCCTCGGTTTACATCATTCCTGTCAATTGCTTGAAAAATTATTTGATACTATGATAATCCCCATTTTGCTTTACAGCAGCGAAGTTTGGGGTATTGACTTAGTCATAAAATATTCAGGCTCAGCATCTTATGAAAAATTTCATATTAAATTTTTAAAAGAAATCTTAGGAGTTCATTGAAAAACTTCAAATAATGGCTGCTATTCTGAACTCGGGAGACTCCCAGTCAAATAAAAAATTATTATGTTTGCTATCAAATACCTTGATCATTTAATTTCAATGGAACGTACATTGGCACATGAAATTTTTATCAAAACTAAAGAAACTAACACATGGTCTATGTGTCTAAAAACTTGTCTTAACAACTTAGGATTTTCTTATTTAACAAATTTTAATATGTCAATGAAACCAGTGCTTGGCATTATTAAACAACGCATTCATGATCAAATATTACAAGAACAAAATGCAAATATAATGAACTCCTCAAAACTGTCTTTTTATCAGAACTTTTGTCTTGATAATAAACGTGCTCATTATGTTGACAAACTAGAGTCACTACATGATAGATCATTTTTAGCAAAAATTAGGTTAAGTGCACACAACTTAGAAATTGAAAAAGGTAGATATGTTGAAATTAATAAAAATAATAAGATATGTAAAGTATGTCAAAACCTTGATATTGAGGATGAAAAACATTTCATTTTGCTATGTCCAAAATATGAAGCACAGAGAAACATATTCAAAACAAAACTATCTACTTTTCCTAACTTGAACCAAACAATCCATAATAATGACAAATTGTTAGAACTACTGATGAAAACTAGTTGTAAAAAGGTTCTTAAAATATTCTCATCATTTTTATGTCAAATATCTGATATAAGAAAAAATATTTTAGCTATAAATGAGTAACTACATTGAACTGAATCATATGTATGTATTTATATAGTATTTTATGAGTACAATACATGATTTGCTACACCAATTGTTTGTATTCTAGTTGTGTTCTACTGTATTTTCATGCTTATCACTATGTTTTCTATGGGCCTTTACCAAATATTTATGCACGTAATTGTCACAGGCTCGTGAAGGCAATTTAAAGAATTGTATGTCACCTGATTTTTTATGTGTGTATGAAATAGTTTGATAGACTGTTGTAGAAAATTAGAGAAAGATGAGTCAAAATTGGGCGCGCTTAATTTGTCTACACCTTACACCCGGTGTACACTTTTCAATAATAATGACAGATCCAGAAATCTTGAAAGGGGGGGGGGCAGTTTTGGATCAGGGTAGGGGTCCATAGCCATGCAAAAAAAATTGATTAATCTTTTTTTTTGGGGTGGGGGTAGGTATTTTTGGACAAAGGCGGATTCAGAGCCGGCTCGCCGGGCGTGCCCCTCCCCCATTTGAAATTTTTGTATGTAAAACTTATATGTCCGTTATCCTAAAATCAAGGGAAAAACTTCTCTTATTTGTAAGAACTTGTCAGATTCCGACTGGCCCCAAAAAGTGCATTGCCTCTAGATCGACCAGCTGGGGGCTTCAGTACAGCCACCAGACCCCTCTCTCTTCTACCCCCCCCCCCCCCCCCCGATACGAAATTCCTGGATCCGCCACTGCTGGCCCCCTTCTAAATCCGACAGTGATAATCAAGTGCAATTCCTCCAAAACCAATCCCTGCTTTTTATATTGCACCATATAAAAAGCAGGGGTTAGAGTCAGAGTAATCTCAGATTAACTTTAGGTGTGCACCATGCATCTACACCCTGTGCAGGGAAGGTTGTAGGGAAATGCACAGCAAATTCATTAATCAATATAGCTGACAAAATTAAAAAAAGATACTGCTGTGGCCCTAATACGCTTCCGTAGTTTATTCCGTGGACCTCACCATATATGCACTTCTTTGTCCTGGATCTTCCAAGGGGAGCCCACTCGATCTTGGACCCCCCAGCCTAGAGCTGGATTTAATTCATCCAAACTGAAATTCGTAGAACCACCCTTGTCTTCTGCGTGATATTGGTTAGTTGTAAAGTGCTGATTCGAAACCTGCAAACTGATATTTTTATAGAAATGTATTCAACTTATTTGAAATACACATGCATTTTAATCCCAAGACAGTTTTTCTCATAATTAAGCTTATATTATACATGTTATATACACAAACCATTGGGCATCATATTAGGGAGGGGCTACACTGTACGGGGTTACAAACCAACAAAAACCATTTGGTGTAAGACAACTATTAAGTGGGGGGAGGGAGCTAATTGTCCCCCGGGGCATAACCCCCCTTTTCCGACGCTGCACTTAGTATAATGGGGGGATCACCACAACTATCGAATCCTCCGGTGACTCATTAAGAAGAGGATTTCTTTGTTTGGTTTTTGATAACAGTTTTTTCATACTTAGAGCAATATACATTGCTGGAAAATGGTTTTTAATAAAAAAAAATCATTACGACGTTCCATTGAACGAGTTACCTTTTAAACATCTTATGATTGATGACGTCACAAATATGGTATTATTGTCCGTGATGAAGTTTCACAAGTGGGTGTGTGTGTCCCGCAATCAAGGAAGGTAGATTCTAAAGCATGCAAGAATTTTATTGTATTTTTCCACTTATTATTATCATGTTCTAGTAAATCAACCAAGTTCTGCACGTAAAACAAATACTAGACAAAAAATACTCCGATCAATATTCCACCGAGAACCAAGAAAGGAAAAGGAAGGATTTCCGAAGTTACTCTGTTTTATACCGGATAAATTATTTAAGGTAATGTAAGATTTTTATTGATAATTAATCAGTAATGATGGAATGCTTATGGTCATATATAATGCCATCTATAATCTGGCTAATTTCAGAATGTGCCGAACCAAATGTTTACAAACAGATAATCTCGATTTTCAAGGCGTTTGGCATCATTGAGATAGAGTTCTTATTAACTAAAACCAAGGATTAAACATTCTTGTTTTCTTTTTTAACTCCTAATGTGCAACAATTATCTTGACAATTGAAAAATCATGTATGTCCAATAAAAGCTTGTTGTTGTAGAGTCTGAGTTATGGCCACTTACGGGAAAGGTGAATTTGGAGGATTCTCTTCGTATCAGACGAGTGATTCACCGCCAGCCACAGGTCAGTCTGACTGCATCAAAATAAGATAACTGTCTTAGGATGAGCTTTTATTACAGGTTATATTTTGTACATTTTAATTGTGAATGTGATAATGATTGCATTGTACATGTAGCAAATTAGAGTGAAACTGCTCCTGCAGGATTTTTAAGAATTTTAAAAGTTGCACTGAAAATAATTGCCAAAATTGTTTGCAGGAGGGGGAGGAGGGAGTGAATTGTCGAGACTAACCAACACCATCAGCAGTAACATACAGAGGATTACACAGAATGGTAAGTCAATACATGTAACTATAACTACCATATACACCATCAGTAGTAACATCTAGATCGCTACATGTAGCTCATACAGGTAGATTTTTTTTTTATTCTAACACAGCTGGTTTCTGTTCTGTTATTGATTTAACTTGTACTCATTGTTTTAATTTTAAGAGCCAGTTA